TGTCAATTTCATTAAAAATTAATTTTTCTGTATGAAACTGTGTATTTTTAAAATGAAATGGAGATCTTTTTTAAAGGTTAAATCCTCATTCAATTTTATGTCTTATAGGGTTTATACTGCGTTCAATATTCTATAACTGTATTAATTCAACTGTGACCTAGAAACTTAAGAGCCACTTGTGAAAGAGCTGTACTCCTGCTCTGGAGTGTGTTACTGAATATGTTAAAGCTGTAATGAAATGCTTCTTCTAATTATGTAGTTATTAAAAATTTTTTAAAAATTTTACTTCATGTTAAATCGTAGAGGTGATAAACATTACCAGTGAAATCTAATTGATGACTTTATATCCATACTCAGGTACTAAGGATCCGAGTGTAACCGACTGTGACTAGTAATAATCAGATACACAAAGATTGAAGACACATGTACAAACATGTTAGCAGCATTAAAAATGTAGGAAACAGCATATCTTAAAATGAAATGGGTATCTTCTTTAAGGGGTTAAAGCTCACTCAATTTTATGTCTTACAGGGTTTATACTGAGTTCAATATTGTATGACTATATTAATTCAAGTGTGAACCTAAAAATTTACAGCCACCTTTGAAAGAGATGTATCCTTGTTCTGGAATGTGTTACTGAATATGTTAAAGCTGTAATAAAATGCTTCTAAAAAAAAAAACTTGAAAATTAAAAGTTTTAGTAAACAGTTGATGGAGGGGAAAAAATGTCATATTTGGGTCTGAGGTCAATCTCTGGGCCATGGGGCCACAGTTGGCTTAAGCTCTTCATGCTGGTATGGATCCTTGAAAGCGAAGAACCTGGTAGCAGGATGTGACTCTCCTGTCTGTACTTGGGACTGACAGCTGCCACCTTTCCCATTTAAAATACAGATTTTTCTTTTGTTAACATTCAAAATAATGATTGATTGCTTTTTCCTCCCTTAACAGAATGTTATTGTGGGTCACTCACTATAAACCTTAAGATTTGTAATAGATCACACTTCTAAAGAACAGTATGGAGCACCCTCAAAAGATTAAAAATAGGGGTTGGGGATTTAGCTCAGTGGTAGAGCGCTTGCCTAAGAAGCGCAAGGCCCTGGGTTCGGTCCTCAGCTCTGAAAAAAAAAAAGAAAGAAAAGAAAAAAAAGAATTTGTCCATACCCCTGCCCAGCAGTAGTTCTACAGTTAAGAATCTGTCCATACCCTGCCCAGCAGTAGTTCTAGTGAAGAATCTGTCCATACCCTGCCCAGCAGTAGTTCCAAAGTCCAAAAATGTCAAAAGTATTTGGGAGCTCTTACTGAATCCCTGAAATATTTTAGGGTTACCTCTCCAGAGTGGGTAATGTTAAAAAGGCCCATTAAAAAAATAAAAAAGAAAGAGTACATGAAGTTGTTCGGGAAAAAGTGATTGGGAGATATGGGAGGAGTTGTAGGGGAGGGAGTGGGTATGGATTTGATCAAAATACGTTATATGCACGTATGAAATTCTCTATAAATTTTTTTTAAAAAGTTACAAAACAACAACAACAACAACAAAAACCCAACAAAACTAAAGGGCTAAGTGTTCCAAGGCTAGGGTTTCCATACCATTTTACCTCTATAGTCTGAGCATCTGAGGTCTAAGCACAACTAGATTTTCCATGAAAACCATCTATTTACTATGAAAGTTTTTGTGTTTTAATAAGCAGTATTTGTCATATATAAATGTCCTCACACTGATTTATTCTTTTGTGGTGTTCATACTAACTTGACTGCATTTTAACATCTATAACTTACACCAAAACATCACAGATGATGTCAGATTCTTGAGAATTTAAAAGCAATGCCATTCTTTTTTTTTTTTTTAAGAATTTAGATTTATGACACTAGGTTGCTATTAAGACTAGTATAATGAAATACTAAGAGTTTTTTCCTCTTCTAGCAGACTAAAATATAAGTTAGTGCTCTATGTATTGTAACTGGATTGCTAACATATTATTCACTTTTATTTCTGGGTCCCTATTACAGACATACCTATCATAAGAGATCTCTTAAAACATATATAATAATAATAATACAAATAAAACGTGTGATAGAGTCGAGCATGGTGGCGCACGCCTTTAATCCTAGCACTCGGGAGGCAGAGGCAGTTGGATCTCTGTGCGTTCAAGGCCAGCCTGGTCTACATAGTGAGTCTGAGGTCAGCTGGGTTACAGGAAGACCTTACCTTGTCTCAAAAAAAAAAAAAAAAGTGTAATAGTATAATATATAACTTATATACTTATACACATATACACATGGAGAACAAGAAAACCAGTAACAAAAATGATTTTACCTCCTTCTAGAAAGTGAAGAAACTGGTGCATTTGTAATGTCTGGTTCCCATTCATCTTCAGGATCACAAAAGACATCCTCACCCCTGTTACCACCATTACTCTAAGAAATACAAAGTATATCATCCATTAATTATGGGTGAAACAACTTTTCACAACTAAGGGGGAAAAAGCTTTAGCAATTTGATTACTTTAAAACGTAGTCCTAATGCTTGAGTGATTTGCTAGTTTTATGGTTTTCATTACTATTATTACCATTATCTAAGCACTACAGAATATAATTCCAGGAGAGTCACATAATTTAAATTGGGAAAGTTGACAAATAGCAATAATAGAATTGGATACAAGTTACAACTATTTTATACATAAGTAAATAATAGAAGAAAAAACCTTCAAATTCATACTACTCACAAAACATCATAGTAAATCATATGTGATTCAAAGACATAAACCTTAAAATACAAGTGTAGAAGACTGACCAAAGTTCAGCAAACTCTTTGAATTATAAATACATTCAAACAGCAATTAAAAATGACTTGTATAAGCTGGGTGTAGTTAGGCATGCCTTTAATCCCAGCACTTGGGAGGCAGAAGCAGGCAGATCTCTGTGAGTTCGAGGCCCGTCTGGTCTGTCTCGCAAGTTCCAAGCCGGCTGAGGCTACAGGGAGAACCTATCTCAAAAAGACCAAAAAAGCAAAAAACAAATGTCTTGTATAGTCTCAGCACTCAGGAGGTAAAGGCAGGAGGATCAGGAGTTCAAGATCACCCTTAGCTATATAGTAGATTCAAAACTAATTTGAAAATAAAAGCCTATATAACTAAATAAAACCAAGAAAAAGATCACATAGGGTTGGGAAGACAGCTCAGACAGTAAAATACTTTCTATGCAAGTCTAAGAGCCTGAATATGGATAATCAGTGTACTGGATGGGAAGAAATAGGCAGATTCCCGGAGTTCAGTGGATAGCCAGGCCAGCTGAACTGATAAGATCCAGGTTCAGGGACAGACCCTGTCTCAAAAATAAGGCGGAGAGAGGCTGGAGAGATGGCTCAGTGGCTAAGAGCACTGGCTGTTCTTGCAGAGAACCTGGGTTCAGTTCCAAGCACCTACATGGCACCTAATAACCGTCCATAACTCCAGTTCCAGGAGATAACACCCTCTTCTGGCCTCTGTGGACATTGTATGACACAGGTGCACTTACATACATGCAGGCAATACATTCATACACATAAAATAAAAATAATAAATATTTAAAAAATTAGATATAGTGATCAAGCAAGACACTCTAGTGTCTAATACTATATATCTTCACAAATAAAAAAATTTGAAATAAAAAAGCACATTCCACCAAAAAAGTGGAATACAGAGTTGGGGGTGTGGTCGAGAATTTGCCCCGCAGATACAAGGCCATGGACTCAATCACTAATAATACACACAGTACACTTAGATCTTCTGCAAGAGCAGCAAGTACTTTTAACTCCTGAACCATCTCTCCAGTCCCCTCAGCTTTATTTTCAAAAGTTTATAGAGATTTTAATTATTACAAACCTCATAAAGTTCTTTCATTGCTGCAAGTTTAGATTCAAACTTTTCTAGACTCCAGAAAGTTGAAATCCCAAGTTTCAAGTTGCGAACCCGAATAGAAATGTCAGAACTACCTTTGTCTGTTGTATCATGTCTGAAAGAAACGCCAAATAAAAATGCTAAACCGAAAACCTACACACGCATTTATAACCAAGTTTCCTAGAGCAAAAAAACCTTCCATGAAAACTCAAGTTGACTAAAAATTAGTAACTTCCCCAAACTTATGATTTAAAACTCCTTCACTGGAGATTCTGATATCCTCTCTTCCCTAGGCAGACACTACTGTATAGACTTTAGAAAATCTAAACTTTAAAAAAATCATATATAGATATAAAAACTACTCACCTGCCAAAAACGTAGTATTTTTTAAATTTGTCACTGATGGCATTGGCTTCCTGGATCATCATGGAGAGTTTCATGGAGCTCCAATTTGGCTGAACTAATACAGAACATACACATTAGAATCGATATGCACATCTGATCACTATGCAGTTAAAGAGCACTGGCTGCTCTTGCAGAGGACCTGGGTTCGATTCCCAGCACCCACATGGCAACTAATGACCATCCTTAACTCCAGTTCCAGGGGATCTGACACCCTCTTCTGACCTCCATGGGCATTGCACAACATGGGTGCACCTATCTATAAGCAGGCATTACACTCATACACATAAAAATAGTAGTAATAATAAAATAAATCTTAAAAAAAAGTGCTGACATTAAATGAGCTGTCTCACCTGAAAAAAAAAAAGTCCTGACATTAAATGAGCTGTCTCACCTGAGTAGGAATGGTACAAAACTAAAAGAAAAAGGACATTGAAGAGAGAAAACAATACTGCCTTTTAATCTCAATATGTTTAAAGGATATTTTTCCTTCTTATTAATATTAAAATTTTTATAACTTTATTTATTGGGGAGAAGTGTGTGAACATCTGACAGTCAGCATGTGGCAGTCAGAGAACTTTTAGGAGACAGTTCTCTCTTTCCACCATGTGGGTCCTGGGGATCAAACTCAGGTGGTCAGGCTTGGCGGCAAGCACCTTTACATGCTGTGTCATCTCATCTGTCCGAGATTATTTTTCTAACTCTTTTCTTTATTTCTTTAATATCTAACTTCTCTAAAGCATCAGGCAGGATGCTCTACTATAGGCTGACATACAGAATGATGCCCCCTTTTAACTTTTCTAACAAAGATACAAAGATCAAAAAGGGAAGCCAGTGGTATGGCTTGGCAGAAAATCACTAGCATGAGGTCCCGAGTTTAATCCCCATACCACAAAAATAGATGCATGAATAATTAACAGAAAGAAAACAATTTATAGTCTACAGTTCCATTTTCACAATTTAATATTCTTTTTTCCTGTAATGCTAGGGATTGACCCCATGGCTTTTCACATGCTAAGCACATTCCTATCACTTACCTACATCCCTAGCCCCTAAATTTGAGGTTTTACCATAAATATTTTTGGGAGTGGGAGCAGGCAAGATGGCTCAGTGGGTAAAGGCCTCCAAGCCTGATAACCTTAGTTCCATTCCAAAACCTACATGGTGGGAAAAGAACAGATTTCTACAAGTTGTAATCTGACCTGCACAAATGCATCATGGTGAGCACACCCACACAAACAAAATAAACAAACACAAATTTAAAAAATAAAAACAAATACTTTGGGGGGGGGGGTAGGTGCAGAGAGATAGCTCAGCAAGTAAAAGCTTCTGCCCTGAAACCCTGATGACCTGAGCTCCATTCCCAAATTCCACATAAAAAGTCAGACGCAGCGGCATGCATCTGCAATCCCAGCAATGACAGTGAGAAGGATGAACGGTGAGCAGGCCAAAGCTAGCTGCTGGCTAGCAAGCTTGGAGTATGTGGTGAAGTGGCAGAAACTAGAGACAAAGAGATGCTGTCTCAAAGTGGAAGGTGAGAACTGACTGCCAAAAATTTTCCTCAGATCTATACCCCTGCTCTGTGGCACTAGCGTGTATGCACACAGACATTACTTTCAAATAATGTAAATTTAAGAAAAACTTTTTGGAAGAATTAAACCTGTTATTCATATGGAAAAGCAATCAAGTGCTCATTGTAATACACTGTTCTAGGCCCTGACAAAAACAAAACAAGTTATTGCAATGTATTTGTCTCTAGCAACAGATATGATAGAAGTAATATTCCCAAAGTTATTTTAAATAGAAGCTACAGAACATACACAACATAACTCTTAAATATTTTTACTTGAATCTGATTGGCCTGCAGATCTAACTACCCTTTCCTAGAGTACAAGGAACAGAGAAACATGCTGTGTTTCTACACACTAAAAATGAACAACAAAAGCCAAAATAGACAAACAGGGTTCTATCAAACTAAAAAAGCTTCTGTACATCAAAGGAAACAATCAACAGAGGAAAGAGACAACCTACAGAACGGCTGAACATATTTGGAAACCATAGACCTGATAGTTAGTATCTAGTATGTGTATATATAACTAATACAACTTAATAGTAAGAAAACAACCCTATTCAATAACGAACCAAAATGCCTGACTCTCCTATGCCCCAGCACCCCCACCCACCACCCTCCAACCAGTCACAATGAAAAAGTCTACAACATCACTATCAATCATCAGGGAAATGAAAATCACTACTACAATGCACACTAATTTAACTTAATTAAAAATTTTTAATTAAGAGTAATTCCATTCATGAGAGTTCTTCTGTCATGATACATACCAATGGCCTCACCTCTTAATACCTCAATTTGGGGGTTTGAATTTCAATAAATTAATTTGGAGTGAGGAGGACACAGATATTCAGTCTACAGGACTGCTGCAGCTATTCTAAAAACTGAGTATCTAAAAACCATTCATACAAATTTATTTACATACAAAAAGCCAGCATCTAGAAATCAAACTTTCTTTTCCTTCATTTTTCTTTCATTTATTTGACACTGGTGACACCCAAAATTGCCTCCATCAGATTGCCCTGTAAACATGTCTGTGGGGCATTTTCTTGATTGCTGGTGATGTGGGAGGGCCCAGTCCATCACTAGACAGTGGGCCTGGGCTATATAAGAAAGGAAGCTGAGCATGAGCCTGGAAGCAAGCCAGTAAGTAGTGATCCTCCATGGTCTCTGTGTCAGTTCCTGACTCCAGATTCCTGCCTTGAGCGCCTCTTGGCTTCCCTCAATGATCGGCTGTAACCAATGAACCCTTTCCTCCCCAAGTTGCTTTTGGTCATGGTGTTTATCACAGCAACAGAAAGCAAACTAGGCCACGAACTACTGGAGGCCAGAAAGCTGAGCTCCCAGGGCACACAGGAAATGGTCACAGTCCTTTTGGGGCTTGTGGCTTAGATCAAGAGACAAGAGTAAAGCGTGGTGGTGTGCCCCTGTAATCCCAGCATTTGGGAGGCTGAATCATCCTGAGATTAAGACCATATATAATGAGTTCCAGGTAGCCTGGGCTACAGAGTGAACCCTATCTTGAAGGTGTAGAGGTGTGGGAGAGAGATTGAGACCAAGAAGATGAAAAAATTGTGTTGTGTAATAGCAAGTGAATGAAGGGTTACATAGTGGAAACCCCTCTTAAATACCAACTCACATCATTCATGCACCTTTAGAGCAACTACAGTGGAACTGGAATAATTGGCGAGTGGTGGTTCTAGAGGTGATCTTGGAAAGGGAATGCTGGGGTTAGAGGGGAAGCATGTGGCCACAGTTAAACGTAGGCTGTTGTCTTGATTTTTACTTGGGTGCTCACTGCGTTCTAAAAGACTAATCTGGGGGCCGGAGAGATGAGTCAGCAGTTAAGAGCACTGGCTGCTCTTGCAGAGGACTAGGGTTTGGTTCCCAGCACCCACATAATGACTAACAACTTAGTAATGCCAGTTCCAGGGGATCCCATGCCCTCTTCTTTCCTCTTTGGGCATTGCACTTGGTGCATTTACATACATGCATGCAAACACTCATACGCATAAAAATAAATAAATACAAATAAAAAACTAATCTGAAGGGAGGGACAGAGGGAAGGTGGGGGCCAGGCAAGGACCAGTCATGAAAGTGTGTGTATCCTGAGTTGAGGACCATGACTAAGTGATGTGCTTGAGGTTCGCATAAAAATGCAAATTTCTGAGCCCTGGCCTCAGATAAACCTGGCATTCCATATGTATTGCTGTGGCAGGACCAGGGCGGCAGTGCGTCTGGCTGGCCGCCAGAGGGCACGCGCATAGCCATGACCTCCACCTGCCGGTGGGGTTTTATTTTTACAACAGGGAAGCAGAGTGGATCTGGGAGGAGGGCTGCTTTGCTGCAAGTTCGCATAGCGGTGGTGGTGGTGGTGGGGCTCCCTCGGGAGAACAGAAAGCAAACTAGGCCACTGGGCAAACATTGTATCACTGAATTATATACTCAGCCAAGCATTTTATCTTTTTTTTTTTTTTTTTTTTGAGACAGGGTCTCCTTGTAGCCCCAGCTGTACTGGAACTCACTCTGTAGACCAGGCGGGTGGCCTCGAAATCACAAAGATCTGCCTGCCTCTGCCTCCCAAGCGCTGGGATTAAAGGCGTGTACTACCACACCTGGCTCAGCAAAGCATTTTAAATATATAAAGGCAACTAACATTTTAGCAATTATATTATACTTTAGAAAAGTGTACATTAAAATCAGCACATACTCACTTGTAAAAGTTTTATCCTTATTTCCCCGATTCTGCTGAAGAATTTGTACTTCTTTAGCAATTTTTTGCTTTTCAAGTTCTAAAGCTTCTAGGATTCTTGCATGACGGATGCTATGGTCTTCTAAAGCCTGATTGATATTCATTCACAAAGACCAGTACATGAGGATATGCAAAGAGAGGAATTATAAAATCAGAGAAGACAGCTATGTTCATTTGCTTTACCATACTAGCCATTTTGATTTTTTAAAAAAATATTTTATTTATTTTTATTTTATATTTATGAGTGTATTGCCTCATGTATGTAAGTGCACTTGTGCCATGTAATGCTTGCAGAGGTCAGAAGAGGGTGTCAGATCCCCAGGAACTGAAGTTAAGAGACAGTTGTCAGTTGCCATGTGAGTGCTAGAAATTGAACCCAGGTCCTCCACAAGAGCAGCCAGTGCTCTTAAGCACTGAGCCATCTCTCCAGCCCCTCATTTTAATATTTATATATACCTACAGTATCATATTGTTTATCTTACATATACACAATAAAATCTTTTCAAAAAACTGATCAAAAGGGGCTGAGGAGATGGCTCAGTGGGCAAAGTACTTGCTACACAAGCATGACGACCTGAGTTTGTATCCCCAGCACCCACTTAAAAGGTCAAGTATCAGCTGTAACCTCAGTGCTGGGGGAAAGAGACAGTACAGTCCAGGGCTCATTGGCCAGACAATCTAGCCCAAACCAGCAAGTTCCAAGTTCATTGAGAGACTCTCAACAAATAAGATAAAGAAGCAACTGAGAAAAACATCCAGACAATCAACCTCTAGCCTCCATATGTACCCACATGGGCAAGCATACTCACACACATGCATACACACGAAAATGAAATAAAAAAGAAATTTCACCCTTTAATACTCATGTCATTAAGAATGCATGGTTAACATTTTATTGACCACAAAATGTCTTTTAGAATTTATAAAATTTCTTAATATGATTTTTTCCCCACAATAATATCATTAGTATTTTTTAAAATGTTTGTTTGTAGCAGGGCGTGGTGGTGCACACCTTTAATCCCAGCACTTGGGAGGCAAAGGCGGGCAGATCTTAGTGTGTTTGAGGCCAGCCTGGTATACATAGCGAGTTCCAGGACAGCTGGGGCTACAGGGAGACCCTGTCTAAAAAAGACAAAAAAAGAAAATGTTTGTTATTATTGTGTCCGTGTGGGTATGCTCACGCTACAGCACACATGTGGAGGTCAGAGGACAACTCTCTGGAGTTGGTTCTGTCCTTTCATCTTGACAAAGGCTCCAGGGGTCATCAGGCTTGCATGGAAAGCTCTTTACCCACTGAGCCATCTCACTGGCCCATCATTAGAAATTTTTGATGGCAGAGATCAATATTTTTCTTCCCATTGCTAGGAAGTAAAGAATCTTTAGGAAAAGGAAAAAAAAAAAAAAAAAAAGGGAAAACTTGCTCAAAAAAGTATAATACTCAAGAACATTTTTTGACCGAAGAAGTTAAACTCAAGGCACAAAAACCCATAGTGAGACCCTGTCTCTAAAAACCAAACCAAACAAAATAACAACTAAATAAATAAATAAACAGGCTGGGTGTGGTGGTACACACTTTTAAGCCCAAGCACTTGGGAGGCAGAAGCAGGAGGATCTCTGAGTTCAAGGCCAGCCAAGGCTACATAGTGAGACCCTGTCTTAAAAAAAACAAAAAAACAAAAAATACTAGTTCAAATAAACTTGATAATAGTCCACTAAGAAGTGTGTTACAAGATTTAAACAGTTGTTTTGCTCCTGATGTCTGATGTGCCTTTCACTCTGCATCTAAATTGACTAGCAGTGTGTCAAAAGCACATCATACTGCCAGTACTTGAGACTGTTAGAGGCATTTCTATACCTACCCTCAGCTCTGTTCTTCCTTAGTCCACAAACTTGGAAAAAAGAGAATAAAATGACCACTTAAGAGTAAAACCTTAAGATCAGGAAATAAGGAATCAGGCCAAGATTAAAACAGTGGCCCTTGAAAGTCATTCATAGAATCTCCTTAGGGCTTGTTAAAACATGCTCTGGGATGAGCCCCAAAGTTTCTGACTCAGTGCTTCTGAAGAGGGACCTCTGGATTTCTAACATGTTCCTAGAAGAGCGATACTCCTCATCTAGGGAACTGGTTCACTTCAAGAACCACTATAAAGAGACAGAATGGCCAAATATTAGCAAGGTGACTGAAGACATTAACACTATAACATTCTGATTTTATCTTTCAGTCTATTGAACCTGGTTGTTATAAATTGGCCCCAGAAAGCTGCCTTTGTCCTCAGTGAGATGGAAGAAACAGATATCAAAAGCTCCACTGGGAGTTCTCTTAGGAAACCGCCGGCTGGCTCTAACCCTTCTTCCTACTACATTTTGGGCCCTGGTGCCATGTCCCCCATTTACATTATTCAGCAAGTCTGATGACAGGACAGCTGTAGACACACACAAATCAAAAACTAAAATGGAGCTAAGGAAATGAGAGCGCTGTCTCTTCCAAAGTATCTATGTGATGGGAATGACAGACTAAATGGAACCAGGATAGCTCTCAAGGAGCCATTCTCATTGAGAGACTTGGATTAGGCTCTCTTATCAAGACATCACATGATTAACAAGAGGAACAAAAGCCTAATTCTCAAAACAGCACAGATGAGGTATCTCATCTCATCAAGAGAATTACCTGCTTTGCAGCCAGAGTCTCCATTTCCAGCCGTTTTTTGTTGACATATACTTCCTGTTCAAGATGCTGCTTTGCCTTTTCTAATTCTTCAATTTTGTGATTAGCTTTTTGGTTATTTATTTCCTGCATTTTCTTCCTTTGAGACTCTTCTCTCTTTAAAGAACATTAATGAAAATTAACCCAGGCAAAAATGCAAAGCAGTTTTTCAAAGAAAGTACCCCTAAAAGTATAAAAGTGCTGCCTTCTAATCAATGTACAAGAAATTACCAATAGAAAAGCTGGACCATAGGGTCTCCATTTCACTCAGGTTAGCTAATCCAAACAGAATGAATGTCACTAGTCTAACTTTTGGGGGTACAATCCTTTAAAATTGGTTTCTAGGACTGAACGGTTGTCACTAAATCACAGCAAGGAGCCAATAAAGACAAAAGTCTATTCTCTTTTTCTGGCAGCCACAATCAACTTGCTTCACGAAGTAAAATTCAAGAGTGCCAAAACTCACCATGGCTTGAACTCTACTGTCTGAAAATCCTCTAATTCCATTTTAAGAACATAATTTTTAAAAAAAAATTGAGATAGCCCCTCATGTACCCCAGGCTAACCTTGAACTTGCTATGTAACTGCACTTGAACTCCTGACCCTCCTGTCTCCACCTCTCAAGTGCTGGGATTGCAGGTGTGCACCACCATGCTTATGGATCATACCCAGGACCTCATTCATGCTAGACAAGCACTCAAATGACTAGGCATCCCAGCCCTGGAGGGAATCAGTTTTACAGTCACACATCACTTTGGGTAATTATCAGAAAAAAAGTCAATTCTGTGTTACCAGCTCTGCTTCCAGCGCTTGTATTCTGCTTTCATATGCAGTTTTTTGGGAAGAAAGTTCCCGCTGAGCCATTTCTTTTGCAATTTGGATTCCCTGCATCATTTCTTCCTTTGCTTTCAACTGGGCCTCTTTTATTTCTGCTTCAAGTCTACAATGTAGCAAGATATTTTTAGAATACGTGAAGAATATTTTATATACTCAAATAGTCACTAATTATATTAAATGTTTTCTATTGAAAAAAAACATTTAAATCAAATCTTAAAATTTAATTTCTGGCATTGTATCCAGTGTTCTCAAAATTTTCAGTGATTCTGAATTGCTTGTTTCCATACAAAAAAATATAATACTATAAAAAGGGGGCTAATGAGATACCCTAGTGGGGGATGCGTTGCTGCTATGTGTGAAGCCCTTGATTAGAGTAAAATGATACTTCATACATCAGTAACCTTTAACTTGTGTCTAAGTCACAGTTTTGGAAAATACTGAAATGACTCTAAAAGCACATGACAAGAGCTGAGACAGCAGAGACTGTACCATGTTATTTTCAGCCATTTATAATAATGTGCTGTTTTAAAGCAAAACAGTAACTTTGTCACCACTCACATACAGGGGGAAAAACATCAGTGCGTACAGAACACCAAATAGCTTTTTTCTTCCCAATAAAAATCAATGCTTTAGCATCACAATGTATAGAAATTTCATTCCCAATTTTACTGAAAAAGAATTAACAATGTCCTACGTAAGAGGGCTGATGTTTCCAGGCTTGAAGAGAATGAAGAATTCCTGCCTAATGGATTCAGGTTCTGGTTCACTGAGATAAGGAAGTGGGTAGTGGTGATGGTTATAGACTATGGAGATCTTAAATGACTAATATGGGCCAGGTGTGGTGGTGCATGCCTTTAATCCCAGCACTCAGGAGGCAGAGGCAGGCAGATCTCTGTAAGTTCCAGGCCAGTTGGGGGCTGCAGGGAGACCCTATCTCAAAAAAGTAAAAAAAAAAAAAAAAAGGATTAACATGGTAAATGTTTTACTACAATAACAAAAATTAAAGAGGGCAAAAATAGGTTTGGGCTTTTTAAAAGATGACAGAGCAGTTATATACCACGGATATATATCTCTCTCTCACTGAGGTGTATCTCTCTCACACTGAGGTGTACCTTCAGCCCTCTTTTTACTCTTTGTTTTGAAACAGTCTTGCTAAGTTTCCCAAGCTTACAAGGATATTGTCTAATTCAGAGATCCTGCAATACTGCATGGACTAAAACTAAGTACAAGAAAACCAAGTATGCGCTCACTCCTTCAGTCCAACTCCTCAGAGGACTAACTTCTAATGGTCTCAAGACTACTCTACAGACATCTTTTTAAAAATTTTTTAATTTTTAATTTATGTGTATGCATGTATTACCTGCATATAGGTAAGTGTGTCATGCAATGCCACGGAGGTCAGAAGAGGCTATCAGATCCCCTGAGACTGGAGTTACAGACAGTTGTTAGCTGCCATGTGGGTGCTGGGATTTGAACCTGGGTCTTCTGCAAGAACGACCAGTGTTCTTAACCGCTGAGCCATCTCTCCAGCCCCAGGACTACTTTAGGGACATCTTATCCCCCTACAAATGTCTGCTGTACTCGAGTGATAATCAATCTTCTCAATCTGGATACAGGTTCATTTTGGTAATTTAGAATTATCATGGAAACAACCTCCGGGCATGCGTGTGAAGGAGTTCTAGATTGAGTTAGCTGAGGTGGGAAGCACCACTCCACGGGTGGAGTCCTGGACTAAACAAAAAGGAGAAACCTAGCTGAGCACCACTACTTATCTCTCTCCACTTCCAGACTACGAGTGTCATGTGACTAGCTGCTTTATGCTCCTGATGCCATTCCTTCCCTGCCATGATGGTCTATACCCTCAAACTCTGAGCCCAAATAAACCCTTCCTTCCTTCCTTAAGTTGCATTTGTCAGGTATTTGTCAAAACAATGAGAAAAGTAACTATTACACCTGGTTCAGACCAGGTGTCCCCCATAAGCTCTCACATCACACAGTACAGGATCCTGTCAGAGCTTTGTATCACAACTATCTGACAGCTCCAGATGATGAGTTCCTCTAGGGAGGAAGGTAAGTGTCTATTATTCTTTGTATCTCTAGCATTTGGTACAGTGAGACATACAAAAGATGCTCAATATGTGCTTGCTGAGTGGATGCCAAGATAAAAAAAAAAAAAAAAACTATATCACAAGAAACCAACACCCAACAGTTAACTACAGAAACCTAGAAGGAATTAAACCTGCCATGCACCTTTCTCACATTTACTACTTCTGTCACTAATAACACTTACTGTGATCTCTGTGCCATAAGTAACTCATTTTTGGCAAATTCAAAGTCTTTTGGACCTTCACTTGTAAGAGTATTTCTACTGGATGGTTTTCTTCCTTTCTGGACTTCAACTGGATGATTAAATCTAAAATAATGATCTCCACCAAGAATCACCCGATCACCCTAAAGCACAGAAATGATTTAATATTCAAGGTGAGTCCAAATGAAAAAATTACAAACTTTCCTGAAAATGAGAAAATACATTTAAAAGTTCAAGGATAAAACAATAAAATATTGACAATGGTTTCCTATGAGAGATAAAATAGTGTTTTTATTTTTCCATTATCCCTTTAACTGAATAAGTTAAGATAATATAGTATTACTAATTATGAACATTAAAATTACAGCAACTGTCACGTCTGTTAAATATTTTCCATATAGAAAATATTGTTAAGTACTTTACATGTGTATATGTGTGTGTGTGTGTGTGTGTGTGTGTGTGTGTGTGTGTGTGTGAGTGTAAAATCTTACAACTCATAAGATACATATCCCAATTTTGGGAAAGAGGAAATTAAAGCACATGACTTTAATAACAGCAGACACTCTTTGCAAGCAGTAGTGTTAAAACCATATGCAATTTTTTTTGTTTAATTCTCCATTACCCGTGAAGAGTGGAAAACAGAGAATGAGCATTTACTTTTGCTTGCCTTCAACAGCATATGCCAATTCTCCTGAAATAATTATCAATCATGCTCTAAAAACTGCCCTAACTGGGTGATATCTAGTTAAATAACCTCACAAAGATCACAGCACAGGTGACAGGGAATTTCACCCCCCCCCGCCGTGGCTTGATTCCAAAACCCAGGTCTTTACAGGGCACACAGTGATGCTGTCAGTGGTGAGTTCAGTCCCTGTTAACAGTATTATAACTTCTCTTTGTACAAAGGAAAGCAATTAATGAATAAATTGAATTTTTAAAATGTTAAAGTTCTTAACCCAGCTCAGTTCTGCGGGGAGGAGAAAAATAGGACTGTAAGAAATTAAATGACATGCCCCAAGCCAAATAGTTTCTTACTCTGTAATACCTATCAACTTACATGATGCAACATTGTGGGCTCCAAAATATGTTTTCCATTTACATATGTCTTTGCTTCTCCATCTGGGATAATACTCACTGTCCCTCCAAAATTTTTGATAGTACTGTTAAAATGAAAAAAAATTAAAAAAAAACATATTGTTATAATTATAGGACATCCTATAAAGTAAGAAAAAGGTAAGATGGAGTAAGCTGGCTTGGATTATTCCTTTGGCATGAAGGTTCATACCAATTTATATCAACAATAACTTAAAATTATCTTATTTCCCCCAAGCAGACTTCTAAGTTTGGTGAAAAATGCCTGGTACCCTAGCAATTGTGTCCACCAATGGTAGGAAGAATTTTCACCATACTTTGATGAAAAATACCCCAGGAAAAACCAAAACCAAACCAACCTTTCTTGAACATAAAAAAATTCAAGTAAAAAAACACAATATTAATAATGACCAAGAGGAATAGTTTTGAGTGTTTTTATTTTCTAAGTTCTGGTAGCTTATAAATGATTATATCCCTAGTCCTATAAATGAACTGCAGAAATGGAAAATACATTTTATCCCTCATGAAAAGTGAGGTATTACATAAGAAGGAAAAGCAGAGAAAGAAAGCATAGTTTTAGTCATTAACTAAATAGGCCTTGAAAGTAAGATATGAAAAATCAGTTAAAAATACCGCATATTCTTTGGAGAATTTTAATCAGAAAACAGTAAATTTCAAAGAGAAATTCATCTTTGAGCTATCAGTCTAAAAGAGAAAACTGCAAGAAAAGCTGACCTTTAAATCACTGATTAGGCTCCAAGATTCATAATTAGACAATGAAAGTTCAATTACCGGCCCCCCCACAAAGAATCTGAGAAAAACAGTTCACTCTTAAACAGTATATCCCTTCTACTAGTAAGCTCTTAATCAAGGTAAAGTTTTAACAATGCTCACTTGTTCTCATCCCTTCCCTTGCCTACTGCCATCAAAAGTCCAGTAGGCTAGCATTCTGAACTCTGTAATATCCAGTTTCAACCAGCCATCTCCTTCATCTGCCATTGTTGTCCCATTTGAGCCCCATCTCACACTCAAGCAACTACATCAGCATCTTCTTTGGAGTTATTCCTTCGACAAAGACCATCCTCTTCCTTATCTCCCTCATCCTTCAAACCTCAGCATCCCTGCTAGTCCTCTAGAAAGCTTTTCTTTGGAGCTGTCAGAAGTGAATTCTTCCATTCCATAAGGTATTCATTGCTCATCAAGCACTGGATACAGGCATTACTGAGAACTCAAGTCTCTATTCATTGAACCCCCTGTAAGCCAGATGTGTCAACAGTGAAGACAGATGAGAAAGCAGCTCTCATGAGCCCCATGTTTAGTAAGACTGACGAATGTGCCAAATGGAAAGTAAGTACAGAGTTCAGGGCAAGAAAGCATCCTAGTCCCCTAGTGAACTCTTCATTCTTTGGTTTAGTTCTGTATCTTTGCCACTGATAGAACTTCTGCTACATTTATTTGTTAAATGAAATAATTAACAGAATAGCAGAAGGGCCAGAAGAACAAGGGGATCTTCCCTACCAGATTAAAAACTCACATTACAACTCAAGTAATCGGGCCAACTGTATGGTTTTAAACACTCAAAAGGACAGTAGAGCCAAAGATTAAAGTGATCAGTATATTTCTTTAAGAGTTCAAGGGACTACACTTCTCAGACATTAGACTTAAGTCCACATAAAATGTGATCTAGACAATTATTTCTCACTGATGATTTTGTTTTGAATCAGAAAGTGCTGCTCAGATGTAAGACTTCAAATCTTGGTCTGCAATACTGTAGTGCCCACCTGTAGCTAAGGGAGACAACCGGGTATTGTTCTAAAATGATGGCTAAATTTTTTTCTCCCCCTATCTAGAAGCCCGTCAAGAAATTCCAATGGACTCTGATATGAACATTTGAAATTTTCCCTGTTCTGACCTTTTTCTGGTTCCCCGTCTAGAACTTGTAGTGCTAACTATTCTTGCCTTTACTTCTCCTTCACATCTCCTGTCAAGGACTTTCTTTTCTCCCTACATTTAAGAGCTATGCAATCTGGGAGTCTTTAGATAGACCCACTGAAGGGGTACCCCAATTGCCTCATCCTGTGTCCCTGTTCATTCAGCATGGCAAAAGCCAAAGAGGTCTGTGTCCCAATTTCCCATCAGCAATTTGGGTAATCTCTTCAGGGGATGGTGTGATAAGAATAGGAGGTAGGAATTGGCTAGGCAATTAGAATAAAAAGACCCCAAAGAAAAGTACCCAGTTTCTTGGTTAAAAATCAAAATGTCCTTGGGCCTCTTAGCAACATTCTCTGTTCTAAAGGCCAAAAATGTCAAAAGTATTTAGGAGCTCTTCTCTAATCCCTAGAAGATTTTAGGGTTACCTCTTCAGAGGGAAGAATGTTAAAGTAGCAAAAAGCCCCATTTAAAAGAAAGAAAGAAAGAAAGAAAGCATGAAATTACCAGAAAAAAAGTGATGGGGGGATATGGGGGGGGCTGGAAGGGAGGGAGTAGGCATGGATTTGATCAAGACACCTTATATGCATGTATGAAATTCTCAATAAATTATTTATTTTAAAAAAAGAA